GATCACCACACACGTACATGCGTCAAAACTCGTGAAACGCCTGCTACATGTGTGAATTGTGGGGGTGATCACCCCGCTAATTTCACTAAATGCAAAAGTTATCTCGACAGAGTTCAAAGACTTGAATTAAGGAGGCCACTCCCACTGAAGAAATTTGTTCCCGCCCCCTTGCCGAAAACTAACCAGTGGCAAGGCAGAAACCAGAATACGAGAAACAATACGCAAACCGATGAATTTCCAGCACTTCCTGAAAGAAAAAGTGCAGAAATCATCCGAAATGATACTCCCAGAACAGAGCCCAGCAGACAAAACAACGCAGGAGTGGCAATGAACGAACTATCCGCATTAAATCGCGAAATCGCCGAATTGAACAGGTTAGTCAATTTAAGTGAGCTTACCAGAGCACTAAGGGCACTGAACGCAAAATTAAAAATGTGTAATAGCGGACAGGACATAATAGAGACATACAATGCGTTCATGTCAGACGTAGATATTAACTTCAACATTAAAAACTGAACTTCATTCAAACGGCAAGCACATACTTAAAATTTGTTTTTACAATCCAAATGGGATGCGCAACAAAACCGCACTTGTTCGCAGTTTCATTCATAAACATAATTTCGACATCATATTCTTATCTGAGACATACTACAAACCGACAACCACATTTAACATACAAGGATATGATGTCATTAGACAGGACCGCATTCAATGGGGAGGTGGGGTAGCTTTTTTAATTAAAAATAATATCGTGCACTCAAGGCTAAATCAAATTAATATCAAGCAGGAACATATAGTAATAAAAATTGATAATCTAAACATTATAGGGGCATATAACCCCCCCAATAATACACTCACACAACAAGAGCTAAATACTATTATGTCATCGGGTAATAGGGTTCTCTTATTGGGAGATTTAAATAGTAAACATCCTCAATGGGATTCATACTGCACAACACCCAACCAAAGCGGTAGAAACCTGGAAAGATTCGCCGAAAGTAATGATGTAATCATACACTACACTGACGAACCCACCCACTTTCCTTATATACCGGGACATAGACCAAGCACAATAGACATTGCCGTCGCCAAGAACGTACCTAACATTGACAAAATACAAACTATTAAAACTTTAACCTCAGACCATGATCCTGTCTACTTGGAGATCAGAGCAACGCGAATGATACCAAGGAGACAGGGTTTTTTTTACGACTACAACAAGACGGACTGGACTACATACAGAAAAACTCTTGACAATAACATTCACATCACGAACAACATTACGGACAGAATATCTCTTGAGGAAGAATTTAACAAATTCACAAATGCAATCATAACAGCTAGAAACCACTCAACAAAACAGGTAGCGCATAAGCAGCATAAAGATACTCTTCCTCAAGAGATATTAGACCTCATCAATAATAAAAATTACATCAGAAGGCGATGGCAAACACATAGATTGGCTGAAGACAGAGTGAGACTCCTTGACATAGGCAGACATATAAACTATAAAATTAATGAATACAGAAATGCACAGTGGCGTCTCACTATGGAAGCAGTCAATGTAAAAGACAACTCAGTGTGGAAATTTGTGAGGAGGTATAAGAAACCTTACTCTCAGCTTCCCACACTGAGACATAACGACAGAACTTTTACTACGGACGAACAAAAGGGAGTGGCTTTCGGTGAATTTTTCCAGAGTAATTTCATCAACATGCAAATAAATACCCAAGAGCAAAATACAGTAGAAAGTATAGTTAAAGACATTAATGATATGTACATACAAAGTTTACCCCCAGGGGCCTTAACAACCCCAAAAGAAATTACTGAAATCATAAAAAGGACCCCCAGTAAGAGGGCCCCAGGTCCCGATGGCATACACAACAAGCTAATTAAAAATCTGTCAAAAAAAGCAATTGTACAGCTTCATTACCTAATCAACAACATACTAAAGCTGCAATGGTACTCTTCAAACTTTAAAAAAGCCAATATCGTGCCTATTCACAAAGCGGGTAAAAATAAAACAGAAATCGAAAGCTATCGCCCCATCTCATTATTGAACGGTCTTGCTAAAGTAACAGACAGAGTCATACTTAACCGAATACACACATACGAACAGGACAAACACATTATTCCATCGGAACAGTACGGATTCAAAGCCGGACCCCACACAGTAGCTCAGATTATACGCATCACTCATCACGCCTTTGAAGGCTTTAACAAAGAGGGACAAACAGTCCTAGTTGCGCTGGATGCTGCCAAGGCTTTTGATTCCGTCTGGATTGATGGACTAATACACAAAATGTTTATGAATGACTACCCTGTTTATATTGTAAAAACAATCCAAACATACCTAAACAACAGACGTTTTGACATTAAAATCAACAATACAATTAACGGACCTTACACAGCCAAGGCGGGGGTACCCCAGGGTTCGGTGCTTGCGCCGCATCTGTATACCATAATGACCCATGATATGCCAATGGGACAAAATGGTATACAGACGGCCCTGTACGCCGATGACACTTGTGTATATAAAACCTCAAAATCTGCAGAGATAGCGGCCAGAAGGCTGGACATCCACACGAATAGAACATTAGTTCCATATTTGGATAAAAATAAAATAAAAATAAATCCAGCAAAAACAGAAAGCCTCATACTTTCACGTAGGAGGAACGATCCAATAATAACTAATATTAAAGTACAGGGGCAGAACATCGAAACGAAAAACTCCATGAAATATCTGGGTTTCATGTTAGACAGACGGCTCAAATTTCATCTGCATATCAAAAATAGAATCGCAAAAACAATGGGAGCCTTTAGGGTACTTTACCCTATGCTACATCGTAGGAGTGGGGTAACAGTGGCCAACAAATTGCTCCTATATAAGCAAGTACTTAGACCCATCCTTACGTATGGTTGTCCAGCTTTCTGCTCGATGTCCAACTCACAATTCAAAAAATTGCAAATTATACAAAACAAGTGTCTTCGGCTGGCACTGGGGTATGATCGCTACGCACGAATACATGACATGCATGTACAAACAGCCATGGAAACTGTCAAAGAACATGTAATAAGAATATCCGAAAACTTCTTTAACAAATGTATTCCATCACCGCTTAAAGAAGATATTCACTCAATCACAAGAGGGGATGGTGTTGACAGGAGACATGGCTGTTTGCACAAAGCTCTGAAAATCTACACGGACAATTAATACATAGTAGATTCAACGTACATTTTTTCCAACAACACAAATCCCACTGAATAGCTGATTCTCAAAGTCGATTAGTCTAACATACCAGTCGGACGGAAGACTGCGCGGTGACGTCATCGCACGTTGATGGGCATTGAGACTCGTCGAAATGCCTGTTTCGTGCGGTGGAGACATCGCGTAGCCTCGAGAATTGGCTAGTCACGCTCATATCCCATCCCATTAACCCCTAATGACACACATTCATATAAGGACAACCCTGTTTTTTCACTTTGGTTTTTCAGGGACAACCCACATAAGTAAAATCAGACAAAAACTCAACACTTTACCATTATTTTCTGGAAAGCTCACCAAATTGACTAATAATATTGTAAGTAATAAGGAGTAGTCGGGAAAACTGAAATTTTAATAGGTTCGGGCATAAACGTGGCCACTAGATCGGCCTCAACAGAGAGGAATACTACGTGGAGTACACGAAGAAGTCCTACTGTGCAGTTATCAAATATATTGTAAATATATTAGCTTAAAATATTGTGTTCGATACCTAAATATGTATATATTGTAAATAATTTAATAAAGACTTTGAAATTGAATTGAATTGGGCCTACCCTGTTTTTTGCAACTAGTTTTTTAGGGACGACAAATCACAATTAAATTCACACAAAACTATAGACATTACTCAATTACTGATCTTACAAGTGAACCTAAATTGCTATATAGTGCTTCTAAAGCAAGGAGATAGTACTTCCATTCATAATAATTAATTAATTACGTACAAAAAGGCGGCTAGGAAATCGGCCACGATCCACTATGCAGATCATTGTAGAATTGGAGCTTCTAGAGGATTCGTCAGGAAGCAAATCTACTTATATTCTGTACATTAATTAAATATTGTATATATTGTAAATATCAATAAATAATTTTTAAATGAAAAATGAAAATGAAATCGAGGCCTGCCACGACGCCCTCGTTGGAGAAGGATTTCATCGTCCAGTTGAGTAAAATAGTTACACGCAGACAAAGACTATACTGAATGACACACATACATACAAGGACAACCCTGGTTTTGAAAGTTTTTCCCAGGGAAGACAATCACAAGTAAAATCCCACAAAAACTAACACAAAATTCAATTTTCTATCCCAAACTCACCAACATTTGCCATATTATATCGACCGATAAGGAGATGGCACATAAAATTCAGTATTTTAAATTGGATTGACGGTATTTCGGACTAGGACGTTTCGTCCATGCAGCCGGGCAGCGAGAATGCTTAGATTCGTTACATCGCGAGTGTGAAATATATTCTTGCTGTTTATACCTCATTTAATGAATTGTATATAGTTTAACATGTAAATAAAGAGATTTTAAAGTAAAAGTGTTCCAAGGTAGAAAATTTCGTTTATTCTGTATAAATCAGAATATTTTATATTTATATTTTTTATGTTTGATCACAGTAATTGAGCTCAGAATATTATTATTTGCTCTTAATTAGAAATGTTTTCCGATTTTACCTTCGCACGTCACATAAAAAGTGACACAAATTAAAAATTAGCCATCATGAGTTGATAGTGCAGATTATGCATTTGATTTTCTAAGTGCGGCCAAGTAACAATAATTATCTCTAATAGGACCAATTTTACTCACCATTCACATTTTTATTGTGACGGTAATTTCTAACTACCTACGGAGACAATGAGTATTTTATTTTTTTATTGTTATTTATTTTACCGATTTGCATAAAGCTGTGCTAACAACATTGACCAGATAAACTTTCAATTGCATTTTTAGATGCCAATAATAAAACGGAAGTTCAAAGAAGTTGTGAATTAGTTCCAAAAACTCTAAAAGAAGGACATTGTCCCGATGATTTAATAGACTATGGGACTATGGAGTACTGTGGAATATGTGATATGGAAGCTTGTAATGCCTCTCCTGGGGTTAAAACTGTATTTTTGACACCAGTAACAATGGTATTTTTAACTATGGTAAAAAAATTGTATTTTAAGTTTTAATTTTAAAATGTAATAATTTTATTCAAATCGGCAATAAAATCATTTTTTAAATAATGTTCCTTTTATATTAAAGATTGATCCACAAAAAATGTTTCTATAGTAGACCAAAACCACCAAAGATAGAGAGAACATAATATTAATAATAATAATAATAATAATAATAATAATAGATAGATAATTTTATTGACATTTTTACATACAAAAGTATATTTTGTGTCACAATATAAAATAATAAAATTGTATAAGTATACAAGATATTATAGGTAATAAGACAAAAAGGTAAATAATCTTATTTTAAATTCACAGTTTACAAGTCGTTTAAAAACTCTTGGATGGAGTAGAAGCAGTGCTCTAGTAAAAAGTTTTTGGCTTTCCTACGAAATGTGTTAGGACTTAGGTTTTTAATATTATGATTGGGATGATATTTGATAAACTTATTGTAAAAATTATAGTCGATTTTATTATTTTGAGTTATTTTAATTCTAGAAAATGGCATTACAAAATTATCCCGCTGCCTTGTGTTATAATCAAGGGTAATATAACGAGACCTTGATAAATAGTCGACTATTTTTATTGTCTCTAAATTTTGAGTGTTTTTGGTACCAATTTGTCGAGACATAATTTTGTCATTAATAATCTGAATAAAATCCGAGAACTTTAGCTCGAGGACTTTATTCTTTGATTATTAAGAGTTATTGCTCCGCTGAAAATGGCAAGAAATTTGTATAAATAATAGGTATTCTATTTTAATCCTAGAAGACACAATTTTAAAGATAATACCATATTTTTTTTTATGTGTAAAGAGAATAAGTGGCACTAGCCCTGAGTTTTCATACTTTTTTGTAAAAATGGTCCGTTCACAAAAAATTATAGTTTATTAAATTTGTTAAAAAATGGACAATTTTTAATAGAGAATTAACATTATTAAACATGCATTATTTTTCGAACGACACATCTTTGCTATACTCTAATACCTTTTCCTTCACTACACTACATTTTATTGACTTAGTAGGATATAACTTAATATATTTTGAAAATACATCCACCATAACTAATATATGAAAATTTCCTTGCTTACTCTTTATTAAATTACTTAAAAAATCTATCGCTACTATTTCACCACATCTTTTTGCATGGATTGTTTCAACCTGATTTATATTTTTCTCCTTTCCTATCTGACATATATGACATTTTCTAGTTATTTCCTTAGCTATTCTATAATCCCCCTTTCCTATATAATTTTCTCTAAATAATAACCATAATTTCCTAGCCCCTATGTGTCCATTATCCTCATGTAAACTCCTTAAAATATCTCCTAATAACTCCTTTGTAATGATAAATAATTCCCGTTCTCCCTTCATTTTTATTATAACCTCACCTTTAATTTCTCCCCCTCTTTTTTCATTATCTGTTAAATTCTTTTGATCTTCTATTATTTCTTTCAATGAAAATATTCCCTCCAACTCTTTCATGACATTTACCCCAATTTTAACAAATTTTTTATTTAAATCATTTTTCCCTTGATCTTCTCTTGTCAACGCATCTGCCACTACATTTGTTCTCCCCTGTATATATTTAATGTCAAAATCATATTCCTGCAGAATTAATCCCCATCTATGTATCCCACTATTTCCAAATCTATTTTTCAAAATTGTTGTTAAAGATTCATGATCTGTCTCAACTATAAACTTTGCCCCTAATAAATAAAATCTTAATTTTGTAATACAAAAAATAATACTAGCTAATTCTAATTCCGATACCCCATATTTTTTCTCATAATTTTTAGTTACCCTTGAAACAAAACATATTGGTACTTCTATTTCATTCTGTACCTGCAATAAAACACCTGCAAATCTCTCTTTAGATGCATCAGTACGTATAATAAAAGGCATTTTATAATTAGGAAAATATACTTTTAAATTTTTCATAAATTCTTTTTTTAATTCTATAAAACACCTTTCTCTTTCCTCCGTCCATTTCCATTTAACTTCTTTCTTCAATAACTCAATTAAAGGTATATGTCTTCTGCTTAAATCTGGTATCAACCTTTTAAAATAATTTATAATTCCTAGAAATCCCCGCAAATTTGTTGGTCTCTTATATTTCATTATAGTTTGAACTCTTTCTTCTTTCATCATCATTCCACTACTATCTATCTTATATCCTAAATAACATATTTCTCGTTGATAAAACTGACATTTATTAATATTTATTTTGAGACCTGCCATATCTAATTCCTTCAATACAATTCCTATATGTTTTAAATGTTCCTCTTCATTATCCGAAAAAATTAATATGTCATCTACATAATGTAACGTGAAATCTTCATATTTGTCTAATATATTATGCAGTGCTCTCACTAACGCTGAACATGCACTTTGAATACCAAATGGCACTACACAAAATCTGTATATTACTCCATCAATTGAGAAACCAGTATAGTCTCTACTATTTCTATCCAAAGGTATAAGCCAAAAACTGTGTTTTAAATCGATTTTAGAAAATAATTTTGCATTAGTTATTCGTCCAAAAATTGCTTCAACATTCATAGGCACCTCATATTGTGGTACTGTATATTTATTTATATTTCTGGCATCCAAACATAATCTAAGTTCTCCATTTCCTTTTTTTACAACAACAATAGGATTCACATACCTACTATTACATTTCTCTATAATACCATCCTTTATCATTTTTTCAATTTCTTCTCCTACTTGTTTTCTATACTTATAAGGTATGGGATATATTTTTGTTTTAAAATTCTCAATGCCTCTAACTTCTATTTTATGAATATAGTCATTAGCCATTCTCATTTCTTTTTTTATCAAACCTTCATACTTCATATTCAGCTCTCTAACTTTCTCTTCATATCCCTTATTGCCGCACAAATATTCCAATTCTTCATTTTTAATATCACTTCTTTCTATATTTCCCAACTTTATTACATCCTCTTCTATATCGACCTTTTCTATACTCTTCTTTTCAAATGCAATCCTTCCATCTATTTCTATCTCCATCTTCTCAAAATCAATCCTCGCTTTATATTTTCCTAATTCATCTACTCCTATGACCATATCCGTTTCTAAATTATTTACTACTAGCAATTGTAATTCAATATTTTTCCCATCACTCAATTCAACCTTTTGTATTATAGATCTTGTAACCTCACACAGTTTCTTACCATTTGCTCCTATTAATGTTGTTTTCGGTATTTTAATTATTTCAAAATCCCTTTCATTCTGTTCAATCAAATTTGCTTTAATTATAGATGCCTCTGATCCAGTATCCACCAATATTTTAATAACCTTACCATTAATTTTTCCATTGAAATAAATCAAACCCACTAATTTATCAAATTCTAGCTCTTCCCAAATTTAATGTACTCCCTTGGATGTTCATATATACAGATTTCATTTTTCACATTTAGCAAGTACTCGACCGAAAATTCTGTTCGGTTACTTCTTCAGTCACAATTTCGGGTTCCATCGATATTATCCTTCCTTCCTGTCTATTCCTCTGTATATTATTCACTCTTCTTTCTTCTCTATTTTTATCTTCTCTTTCTGAATTGTATCCTCTACTTTCTGATTCATATCCATCTCTTTATCTATTTTCATAATTTCCATTTCTATTATTGTTATTATTGTTGTTGTAATACTCGTATATCCCATTTCTGTTTATTATTATTATTATTATTATTATTATTATTATTATTATTATTATTATTATTATTATTATTATTATTATTATTATTATATCTATTATTCTTATTGGAGTTATTTGCATTGTATTGACCATTGTGGTTTCTGTTATAGTAGTTATTGTAATTTAAATTCCCACGATATCTATTATTATTATTATTCGAATTATTTCTATTAAAATTATTGTCATACCTGTTTGTATTATAATTTCTTTGATATCTGTATAATTGGTTATTATTGCTGTCCAAATTGTAATTTCTACTTTCAGTAGTGTCTCTGTTATTGTAATTTGTCTCCATTTTTTCCCTTTCTACTCTTTGTAAATAGTTACTTAATTGTTCAATGGTTTGTATATTTTGCATTGCAATAGTTTCTGTTATCTCATACCTAAAATGTCTAGATATAAACATTATGATCTCTTCCTCTGGAATTGGTGGATCTAAAAATTTTGCTGACATACATTTTCATAGCATATTCATTCATGCTATTATTTCTATTTGCATAGTATTTTTCAGAAAACAGTTTCTCTCTTACTCTTGTTTGAGCATTGTTCCCCCAAAAATATCCCATAAATTGTTTTTCAAAAATATCAAAATTCTCAAAATTCTCTTCCTTACTTGTATTTCACACTAAAGCATGATGATCAAGATTTTCCCTTATCATCTCTTTCATATCCTCTATATCCTTAATATCTTTCATCTTGTTCTTTAAAATTTTAATAAACACCTTGGGATGAATTTTCTTACTGCCTCCTTCAAACTTGTGATCCCTTTTATTTCCTAAAAATTGGTTGATAATCCTTGTTTGTATTCTACTTTCATTATTTATTTCCTGAACTTCATTCTGTTTATATTCCTTCTCCAAACATCTAAGACTTTTTTCCATGCTTTCTATTTTATTATTGATTTCACTTTTTTTTTCTTCGTCTTTGTCATCAGCTAGTTTTAATTTTGTTTGAGATATCTTATTCTTCAAATGATTCATTTCTTTCTGTATCTCTTCTATCCTCTTGTTCATTCTTTCCACATCATTTTTCTGTGTTTCATTTATTCTTTTTTCGGCATCTTTTATATTTTGTCCCACTGTAGTATCCATCCCTGTAATAGTATTTATCGATTTTTTTTCCAAATTACTCATTCTTTCCTTAGTATCTTGCTCTATCATTTCTATTTCTTCCTTTAGTTCTGTCTCTATTATTTTTTTAATTTTTTGTTCTTATAAATCTTCTACTTCTATTATTCTTCCAATCATTTACATTCTTATTTCTTCTCTAGTTTCTTCAATCCCATTTTCTATCAGTAACTTTGACTCTTCCATTTCTTTCACTGCTATTTCCAATTTCTTTTCTACTTTCT